GTCACGCCCTTGTCTACGTTCATTCGAAGCCTTAAGATAATACTTAAGGGCCCTAACCGGACACAGCGCTCTGTCCTCAGTATCAGCAGGATGTAAGATTTCTTTGAGTGATCTTACAGTGAATTCTCTCTCCGTTTGCCTGACTCTCTGATTCTTGGCGACGAAGCCCATGAGCAGGCCCAGGCGGACCGATCCTTCGTCACCCCTATCGAATCGTACCTTGGCGACATCAAGTGCATGAATTTCGGATACACGTGCCGCCGTGGCAAAGGAGAGGAGAAATGCTAATTTCCAAGTCACATGCCGGAACGAAGCACTATGCAAGGGTTCATACGGAGCTTCCGTAAGTGATTGCAACACTAGGGAAAGATCCCAGGCCGGTGCCCGAAGGCGGTCCTTCTGAAGATCGTGCTGTTTGAAACCCTTGATAATACCCCGTATCACCGGCTCTTTTGAGAGACTGGTACCCATAGCAACGTCCCGTACCGTAGCAACGGAAGAGACATAGTTGGCAGTGGAACCCCCGGAGAGTTTCCGGGTCTCTGGCAAGTGAGACATGAAACGAGAAATATCCTGCACAGATACCTTATCTGGCGAATGAATGTGATGTTTACAACACCACTTCGTGAAAATAACCCAACGTGCATTATACACCTTCTGGGTAGAATCACGATGCATACTAACATATGCCCGAGACGCCCAACGAGAAAAACCTTTACTCCTCAGACGCTCAGTGACAACATCCACGCGTGCAGATTGAACTGCCCTGCGTTTGGATGAAGCTGACGGGTGTGAGGGTGGATCAAGAGATCCGGTCTCACAGGCAGTGGAAGTGGCGACTGCGTGACCTGGGTCAGCAAGTCGGGGTACCACGATCTGTTCGGCCACATGGGCGCGATCAGTAACATTCGACAGCGAACTCCTCTGAGCCGGCTTAGAATGTGTGGTATCAACGCTGTCGGCGGGGTAAGCATAAGCGTCCAAGCCAGTCCAGTCTAACGCGAGAGCATCGTGATCAATGGCCCTCGGGTCCGGGACTGGTGATACAAACAACGGGAGTTGATTGTTGAACCGCGTTGCGAACAGGTCGACCATCGGACGACCCAAACGTTCGCACAGCCACTGAAACACTACTGGGTTCAGCATCCACTCCGTGGGGCTCGGATCCCGAGGCCTTGATAGAGCGTCGGCCAGTACGTTCCGCACACCTGGGATGTGACAGGCGCGTACCTGGCACGGGACACTGTCCACCAAAGCATAAAACTCGAACGTGAGATCGAGTAGCGAGTGACTGTGGGTTCCCCCCAGTTTGTTCACATAGGACACTACCGTCGTGTTGTCGGTCGCCAGCATGAGCCGGGCGTCGACGAGACGATGCTTCCAGTGATTGACTGCGTTGATCACTGCCTTGAACTCGAGACAATTGATGTGAAGACCTAGTTCGTCTACGCACCACAGCCCCGAGCTCACCTCCCCCTCCAGATGGGCGCCCCAGCCCACTAGTGAGGCGTCTGTATACAGGTTCAACGTGGCCCGGTAGGGCCGCATAGAGACTCCTGATAAGACATTGTAAGGGACCGTCCACCACTCCAGATGCGGTCGGAGCCGATCCGGGAGGGCGACGGTCGCACTGTTCACCTCCGTTGCTAACAACTGGATTAAAAACCGTTGCAGCGGGCGGAGTTGGAGACGACCCCGTTCGGTGCAGTCCTGGGCTGACACAAGTAGCCCTAACAGCTGTTCCCAAAAGTGAGCAGTCTGTTGCACGGCTAAGACTTTGGCAATCATCGCCTGAATCTTGTGCCACCGGTCTGGGGGGACAAAGAGGCTATGGGACACCTTGTTGAACCGACCTCCGATGAACTGCAAGTTCTGAGAAGGGGTTAACTCGCTCTTGGGGAGATTGACAATCCACCCCAATTGCTCCAAGAGCCGACGTGCGAAAACCAGATGGCGTGACAGGGTGTCCGTCATTCGATTTGCTACTAGCGAGTCGTCCAGGTACGCGAAGTACCGGACACCCCTCCTGTGGAGGAACCCCACTATGGGGGTGGTTAACCGGGTGAACAGCCAGGGAGCGGACGTGTGAATCATTCTGAGTTCGACACTGTCCTTCTTGGGAACGAGAAATATCCTGGAGTAAAACCCCGGTGTTATTTCTGGTAGAGCTAACTCCCTTACTGCCCCTTCTCCACCAACCTGCCGATGGCATGGGCGAGGATGGGAAGATCGGTTTACGAATCGAAACCTGCCAACGGGGCAACGGTGAGATCAAGCCGATAGCCATACCGAATCGTGTTGACCACCCATGGGTCGTCAAACACTTGTTCCCAATTCTCCCAGTAAGTCTGGAGTCTGGCTCCCACTGGGGAAGGAGAGGGGGCCCTGACAGGCTGCGGCAGGCGCAACTGTCCAGGGCCAAGTGACTCGGGTTCGCCTAAGGGCCAACCGAAGTTGGCCCTGTCGGCATACGAACCCCTCCAATGAGAGTCACCTGGAGGGGCCCTTGCCGTCCTTAGACGACTTGGGGTTCCCCCAGTTCCCCTTCTTCCCGCGAAAGGGCAGCTGATTGCCCATACCGGAGCCCTCAGGGCGGGGCTACTTCCCAGAGGAAGAAGAACCCGACCCCTTAGACCTACCGGCCGCAGCAGCCTGTGGCACGCTCCGGTTAGGAGCGGCACCAAGGCGCCTAGGCAGGGACCCAACAAGAGCAAGTGTGTGCCGAGAGTCCTCGGCAATGTACTCCAGGGAAGCATTTAAACTGAGCAGGCAGCAGCAGGAGAACCTTCGACCAGACTGGCCGCTGCAGCCAAGTAAGTGTCTCCGTGAGACATGGAGTGCCGAGCGAGGGCGTCCAGCTGGTGCAAGGTAGCTTGCGCTACCGTAGCAGCCGGTGGGGCACGGACACCCAACCGCTCAACATGGGCCTCCGCAGTAGGACCAGCCTCGGGAAAGGCAAGGTCATGTACCGGGAATAAACCCTTTCTCCACGACGTCGGAGGCAACGGGAGACCCCGACGGGAGGCCGCCGCGAAGGCGTTCTCCAAGGAAGGCTTGATACCGCGCAGCAAGGTTGATGCGGGGAAAGCCGTGTCGGAAGACTCATCGTATACCTCGGAGGAACCCACAGTCGTGGATTCCCCGCGGTACCGGCCGGGGCATGTCCTCAAAGAGGTCATAAACCATGGCCATGCGGTCCTTAACCGATAGCGGGAGCAACGGTTCGGGGGAAGGACCGGTGACCATGGGAGCCGCCGCCGTACCGGTGGACCCCGCGGCCACCAAAGTGGCCGGGGACGGAACAGCCAGCGGCCTATCCTGAGATAAGGCCGCCAGCTTGGAGTCCACAAGTTATGCAAGTAATGCAGCGACGGAAGCCCCGGACAGCCCACGGGCCGCCATGGGATCCGCCGCAGCCGTGGTGGTGGTACCCGCAAGGGGACCCCGACCGGACGAGCCGGCCACCACAGGGGTGGAAACGGACTGCACATACAGCCGGTAGAGCCTCGCTTGCGGCACACCCCGCAGCTCCTGGTTGCGGGGGTAGAGGGGGTGGAGGACGGCGAAACATCCATGTCAGACATTTTGTTTGTACTATGAACAAAGAGCAAAACATGGTTACAACACACGCACCACAAATAGTCACAAACGAGTATTTTCACAAGAAAATAAACGAGCAATGGGAATATAGAACATACACATATAACATATAGAGGAATAAGTGATGTAAAAACCCCAAGATATACTAGAACAGGGGACGTAAGACGCAACGTGCATACGAGAACCCCGCAAGTATATAGAAAAAAAGGGCGGGTAAATATTTCCTTTTGGCGGGAAAAATATTTCCAAGCGTAGTTACAGCAAACGCCCCGTAAAAGCACAGTTTATTAGAGAGAATAAACAGTAATAAATATCACCGAATGGTCGGAGAAACAGGAACGCTTGAGCAGTTTATTGTACGTCTTGCTAGAGCAAGCGAAGAGACAAGAGTGAAGGTTGTCACATGGCAGCTAGGTGGCTACGCACATGCTGCATGAGGTAATTGAGATCTCTGTGGTAGATTTCGCTATAGCAGCAGTTGTGGGAGACAACAGCCTCGGTATAACAGTGGTAACGTATTACTTAATGTAATATGACACAGGAACATGGACAATGTAACTGTTCACATACAGGCAGAGAAATTCTTGTGCGATTATTAACCTCTGACTGAAATCATCCAAATTTTATTCAGATGGAGATTGGACAACCAAGCCTTACCCTGTTTATACTAACACATGCAATGATATGCCTCAAGGTCAATTTTAATACCTAGTAACATTACAATTACATCATGATCATGGTCACTTACTCCCAAAGAAATGATGATCTTTACATCAATTATCAGGTCATGATGGTACAGTCTCGGGGTACATAAGCAGTTTATCAAGTATCAATCTAATTAACCCTCCAAAGGGGGTAAAAAAAGGTGAATTTTCTAATCAGCCAATAACGCATGGTGGCTTCTAAGAGAGCAAAGCATTCTGAGCAGCATATCTGTACATGTAGTTCCTTATGGAGAATAGTAAAAGCTGCTGTTGATAATATATTGATAGACCTTGTCATTTGAGAGTGTCAGGGCATCTACATCCATTCGGGTTTACTATAGACATGACATAGGGAACAATTGTGGTCAGCATGGGGTTACTTTGTCAAGATTGGCATGAGCAAATCAAGGTAGTAAAGAAACGAAGATTTAAAATAGCTGACATCTGATTGGCTCAAGAAACCAGACATCCTTATTTTGATTGGGTTGTCAATGATCTCTTAAGGTTCCCCTGACCTGGCCTCCCTTTCACAAAGCAATGTTAGAGCTACGACTGTCGTTAGTCTATGTCAAAGTATGGGAGTTACAATCGTCTTAGTGCCAAGTTTGCTTTGTTAAATGGGGCCCTGACTTCAATGTGATTGATCAAGTATACATTTTATGGCATGTTACACAGATGTGTGTTAAAGCAACTGACTTAAGCATTGTGGCAAGGGAGTTATTCCATCCTCCATGACCCACAGACCGATGGTGCTGCAGGTGATGCGGAAGCTCTCCTTGTAACCCTCAGTGATGGTAGTAAAGCCAGGATCACACACCACTGTAGCTTTCTGGGACTGGTTGAAAGGGGTCCAAGAATCGTAGCGAATCTTGGCGTTGAGGAAGTGTGGAGGCTGGCACCGTCCAATGTGTGCATGGTCTGTGAATCATACATATCAAGTAATACACAGTCCAAAAGAACTGTTTTCTAATGGCTTTTGTTACACCTGCTGTCCATAAGTTAAGAAATGTGAGTGTTAAGCAATGTTTCAGCCATCATGAACGTTCGCAAGGCACATAACAGACAGTCAATACTGTCTGTCTTTGGACCTGAAACCCCTGAGTGATAGCGGGAGCTGGGACCATCATCAGTCTTTTTAGTAGGACACACTTAGAGAAACTCATAGGCTGCGTGCTTAACAAGTACCCTACTTATTTGGAAAGATGGTGTGCATTAGTGTCCAGAAAAAATAATATTTAACTTTGTTCATAGATATTTAACTTTGTGTGTAGATAGGTGGAAATGAGGACAATCTCAATAAAATCAGATCTTAGTTCTCCCTATCGCCAAACAAAGATCTGAGGACATCCCATTACAGGCCACGTCTGAATGACCTTTCATCTGACCAATCAAAGCATTGCTTACCAGATCATGAAAGTGACAGTCGGAATGTGTTTTCAAATCATGCAACCTCGAAAACGTTAAGACAGGGTAGGGTATTCTGAAAGACAGTTACGGCCCGTATGACTGATTCCGTCAAAATCATCGTCTGTCTCTTGCTTCCGTGGGATAAACATTTGCACTGTACATGGGAAGCACTGCCATACAATCGCAACCAGATTTTATACATTCTGGAATGTTTGTTTGTTCAGTTTTCAAAATTTTAATTGAGATCTGTGTCAACATATTTTTATAGTGTAGTCTGAAATGAAAGTCACGAGGTTGAAACGAGTGCAGTAAAGCTCGAGAAAGCTGCTTTCTAATTGGCTGATGTCGACTTCTTGTTAGTCGTTTCAGTGGTCGGTCAAAGTCAAAGACGGTCAGATCTTTGTTTAGCAGCAGCAAGAACTTAGATCTGATTTTAATGAGATTGAAATGAGGAGAGCTGGCATCTTGGCTGTTTGTTCAGAAACACTTTGCTCAAGGACTAATGGATAGAAACTCCAGTGACATTAATATAGCATGATAATATCAGCCTTGTTTGGGTTCACGAAGAACTTGGAAATAACAATAAAAGGATACCTTTAACATTGTTTAAGCATGTTAAGCAGGCCACTGATAGCTTCTGTAACATGATCACAAACACCACAAGATAATGACGCCCATACATACCTTCAGTGAAGCTACAAGCTATGCACAAGTCACAAATACACAAAGTCAAGTTATCTCCCCGGGAAGTATTCATATGGAATGCATACAATAATTGAAGTTATTTCCCCTTGTTGTGGCTGCCACTTCTGTCACCCTAAATTAATGTCTGCCAAGAACATGCCGATGTTTACAATACACCATGTATCAGTATTGGGAACAGATGCAAATGATGAAATATGACTTTTCAGAATGCATCCCAACTCTAAGTAAGATGAGAAGAAGCCAGTCGTTTCAGCTGCTGATGGCTTCATGCTGTACAGAAAGCTATCTTCCTGTTTTCTATATCCACCCAGTAATCAAAACTGACTAACATTTTCAGCATCTACCATGTTTACACATGGATTTGCTGAGATCATCACATGTGATGAATCTGTCCACTTGATTTTAAGACGGAGTCATTTTTACAAGCTATGCACGCAAATAATAATGTGAAAGTTAATAAAAAAATTGCTTTCATAAACATTACCTAGGTTACTATTGTGATGTTGGAGAGAACTGAAAACCATGTGTTTAACCTTCAAGTACTGCCAAAATAGTCTGCCCCATTGCTGCTCTAGTTTACACCGGCAGGATCTAGACATGGTGCATCTCATGCTGTCATATCATGGTTCCATCAAATTGACTTCAGCATGACCTTTAAATCTACCATATAGAAGAAGATGAGAAGAGCTCTGTAACTACAAGACAGTCTAGTAGTGAAATGTTCTCATGGACATCAAACAATCACTAGACCATCCATAGACTGTGTGGAAATGATAAACGAAAGCTTACCTTTACAGACAGGACAGCATTCTCCAGGTATCTGTAGCTGGTCAATCTTGGGGCAGGTGAGCTGTGGGCACACGTTCTGTCTCTCACACATCATCCTCCCATGCTGAAAAGACAAGATGCCACACATACACGCATCAGAGATTGTGTGTAACATCACTGTACAAGTACTTGCTTGACACTCTACATGCAAGAGATAAACAAATATAAGACATTCCCCATCATTAATGACAGTGTGTACAAACAGACCTTCTGTTCAGCCTAGCATGTCTTGTTCAAATAATAAAACTCCATACAAACATAATCACATACAATCTACTGACAATGATGTCAAGAGCCATGTTAAGACTAATAGACTCAATGATTTCGGCCCAGACTGAATAGTATCAAATTTAAAGTCTCATGAAATATATTCCAGTCCTGATCACTTTCTTCCAGTTTTTCAGGCTATAACCATGACAACAGTGAGAAGGGAGTTCTGTACATAATGTACATCTACACTTGGCAAACATCTGTTCCACACGTGAAGATTCGTGGTAGAATAGGTCTTCAGCAACCCATGCTTGCCATAAGAGGCAACTAATGGGATCAGGTGGTCAGGCTCACAGACTAAGTTGATGCGTGGATTGATGGTCATGATATCAATCACTGGATTGTCTGGTGCAGACTTAACAGACTACCTTCATATAGCTGAAATATTGCTGAGTACAGTGTTAAACAATGAACAAACAAACAGTTGTGTGTTCCATATCCATGAATGTTTCTCCCTTGTTAAAGACCAGCTATTGAGAGGAGCATGCTGTGGTTTACTTACATTACAGGCACATGTTACACAGGGCCTGGGATGGAACTCTTCTCCATGGTTGTAATGTTTTCCACTGTATATACACTGACCTGGAAATTCACAAAAGTTTTGTAAAGAAAATGTTTTTTGCACAACTACAGAAATGACATGGGTGAATTTATGATGAAGAGATATGGTAAATCATGTTGTACACAACAAAGAAAGACAAATAAATACAAACAGCAGCAGTTTTAGTTGTAATACTACAATGGGTTTGTACTTTAATACATTTGTGATGATTGTGATTAAAATAATGAATGTTTATGTGTTTTAAACTATCTCTACCCCTCTCTACATAGAAATACACCAAGTCTGAATGGCTTCCTGGATTCCTGACAGTGAATGTAGGAGTACTGCTTTGTGCATTAAAGACATATAGAAAGTACGGACACATTGGACTGTGATACGCATGTTCTGAGGAGCAGCTGCAAAGCCAAACTCATATCTAGAATGTATATAAATTTAATTTTTGGACATCTTGCATTGATTATTTTACAGCACAATAGATGTGAAAGGGGTCCATATTTATTTGTGATGCAATCTAATTAAAATCAGATCATAGTTCAATTACCCATGTTAACTTTTTTGAGTTTTGCATGATTAGAAAACACATTTCAACTGTCACGTTCACAATCTGGTAAGCAAAGCTCTGATTGGTCGGATGAAAGGTCATTCTGACGTGACCTGTAATGGGATGTCCTCATATCTTTGTTTAGTGGTTACGAGAACTAAGATCTGTTATTAATGAGATTGTGACTGATCTTACATTTCATTCCCAGGGTATTTATACATAAAGACAAGTGTTTGATAGTATAAGCGAGATTGTAGAATTTTCCTATTTGGAATATTCTATAAGTAATACGTTACCACTGTTATACCGAGGCTGTTGTCTCCCACAACTGCTGCTATAGCGAAATCTACCACAGAGATCTCAATTACCTCATGCAGCACGTGCGTAGCCACCTAGCTGCCATGTGACACCCTTAACTCTTGTCTCTTGCGAGAGCAAGTGCTCAGGGGACGGACGGGCGGGCAGCAGCCCAGTGGTAACGTATTACTTATAGAATATTCCGAATAGGAAAATTCAACAAATTACATTAAGTAATACTTTACCACTGTTATACCGAGGCTGACTACCACAGTAGGCGGTGGGGAGCACCTACAACCCGAACCTGACTGCTCGTGTTCCTTCCGGCCAGCGGAAGTAAACAACAAGGCAGAAGCACTCGATGCGCATGCTCCCAGCATGGCGTTACCATATAGGGATACCAAAGCACTGTCAAGGCATACCGTAAGGCTCAATCGTCATTGCCAAACAATTGGTGACTCCAAACGGCCCCACTGGATAGGTATTTCATTGCCGCAGCCGATGACCTAATTCCAACATTCGTAAGCATCTTTCACAAGGTTGGAATACACCACAGACAATCAAATACATAATTGTCAAAATACAAATAAGGACAAAACACACAAAAAGCCGCCTCACCTGTGGTGTGAGCGCGCTGGCTTGCGGGACCCCAACTCCTGTACCCATGGCGGTGGGAACATTGGAGACGACCCAGATTGACCACCGTGCAAGGTCTGACGCCTGTGGAGTTTGGAACTGCACTGTACACACCCCTTAGATGACCGCTTGTGCCGAGATCAGCGGCCCAAGACGGTGCACCCCCTCCACGTCTTCATCAGAAACCCTTCTCAGGTAATGATTGGCAAAAACCGAGTCAGAACGCCAGTAACAACCTCGTAATATTCTGTGAACAGAGATATTCGAGTGTAGGGCAAATGTTGCCGCTAGCGCCCTGATCTCGTGCAGGTTTGACCCCGCTACCGGTAACCCCCGAGACCAGTACGCCAGATTGATGACAGAACGAAGCCATAACGCAATCGAGTTGCGAGTTATGTCAGCAGTGCGATTAGGGTTACACGATATGAACAGATGGCCACGCCCTTGTCTGCGTTCATTCGAAGCCTTAAGATAATACTTAAGGGCCCTAACCGGACACAGCGATCTGTCATCAGTATCAGCAGAATGTAAGATTTCCTTGAGTGATCTTACAGTGAAATCTCTCTCCGTTTGACCAAATTTCTGATTCTTGGCGACGAAGCCCATGAGCAGGCCCAGGCGGACCGATCCTTCGTCGCCCCTATCGAATCGTACTTTAGCGACATCGAGTGCATGAATCTCGGACACACATGCCGCCGTGGCAAAGGAGAGGAGAAATGCTGTTTTCCAAGTCACATGCCGTAACGAAGCACTACCCAAGGGTTCATACGGACCCTCCGTAAGTGATTTTAACACTAAGGAGAGATCCCAGGCCGGTGCCCGAAGGCGGCCCTTTTTAAGATCGTGCTGTTTGAAACCCTTGATAATACCCCAAATCACCGGCTCTTTTGAGAGATTGGTACCCATAGCAACGTCCCGTACCGTAGCAACGGAAGAGACATAGTTGGCAATGGAACCCCCGAAGAGTTCCCAGGTCTCTCTTAAGTGAGACATTAAACGAGAAATATCCTGCACAGATACCTTATCTGGCGAATGAATGTGACACCACTTCATGAAAATAACCCAACGTGCATTATACACCTTCTGAGTAGAATTACGATGCATACTAACATATGCCCGAGACGCCCAACGAGAAAAACCTTTACTCCTCAGACGCTCAGTGACAACATCCACACGTGCAGATGAACTGCCCTGCGTTTGGATGAAGCTGACAGGAGGGTGGATCAGGAGATCCGGTCTCACAGGCAGTGGAAGTGGCGACTGCGTGACCTGGGTCAGCAAGTCGGGGTCGGCCACATGGGCGCGATCAGTAACATTTGACAGCTAACTCCTCGGAGCTGGCTTAGAATGTGTGGTATCAACGCTGTCGGTGGGTGAGCATAAGCGTCCATGCCTGTCCAGTCTAACGTAAGAGCATCGTGATCGATGGCCCTCGGGTCCGGGACTGGTGATACAAACAACGGGAGTTGATTGTTGAACCGTGTTGCGAACAGGTCGACCATCGGACGACCCAAACATTCGCACAGCCACTGAAACACTACTGGGTTCAGCATCCACTCCGTGGGGCTCGGATCCCGAGGCCTTGATAGAGCGTCAGCCAGTACGTTCCGCACACCTGGGATGTGACGGGCGCGTACCTGGCACGGGACACTGTCCACCAAAGCATAAAACTCGAACGTGAGATCGAGTAGCGAGTGACTGTGGGTTCCCCAGAGTTTGTTCACATAGGACACTACTGCCGTGTTGTCGGTCGCCAGCATGAGCCAGGCGTCAACGAGACGATGCTTCCAGTGATTGACTGCGTTGATCACTGCCTTGAACTCGAGACAATTGATGTGAAGACCTAGTTCGTCTACACACCACAGCCCCGAGCTCACCTCCCCCTCTAGATGGGCTCCCCAGCCCACTAGAGAGGCGTCTGTATACAGGTTCAACGTGGCCCGGTAGGGCCGCATAGAAACTCCTGATAAGACATTGTAAGGGACCGTCCACCACTCCAGATGCGGTCGAAGCTGATCTTGGAGGGCGACGGTCGCACTGTTCTCCTCCTGTGCTAACAACTGGATTAAAAACGTGAAAGACCAACCTGAGATACTTGTGATGGTCCGAGTGAATCGGAACATGCAGATAAGCATCCTTCAGGTCGATCGAAGCGAGCCAGTCGGCCGGCATGATCAGAGCTTTCAGGTCCGCCAAGGTCAACATTCTGAACTTGGGCAGCTTGTGCAGGTACAACTCGTTGAACGATTTCAGATTGTGAATCATTCTGAGTTCGGCACTGTCCTTCTTGGGAACGAGAAATATCCTGGAGTAAAACCCCGGTGTTATTTCTGGTAGAGCTAACTCCCTAACTGCCCTCTTCTCCACCAACCTGCCGATGGCATCGGCGAGGATGGGAAGATCGGTTTCCGAATAGAAACCTGCCAACGGGGCAACGGTGAGCGGCGGATTCGCTTTGAGATCTAGCCGATAGCTGTACCGGATTGTGTTGACCACCCACAGGTCGTCGAACACTTGTTCCCAATTCTCCCAGTAAGTCTGGAGTCTGGCTCCCACTGGGGAAGGAGAGGGCGGCCTGACAGGCTGCGGCAGGCGCAACTGTCCAGGGCCAAGTGACTCGGGTCCAACCGAAGTTGGCGCTGTCGGCATACGAACCCCTCCAATGAGAGTCACCTAGAGGGGCCCTTGCAGTCCTTAGACGACTTGGGCTTCCCCCAGTTCCCCTGCTTCCCGGGAAAGGGCTGCTGATGGCCCTTACCGGAGCTCTCAGGGCGGGGCTTCTTCTCGGAGGAAGAAGAACCCGACCCCTTAGACCTACCGGCTGCAGCATCCTGGGGCGCGCTCCGCTTTGGAGCGGCACCCAGGCGCCTATGCAGGGACCCCACAAGATCAAGTGTGTGCCGAGAGGCCTCGGCAGATACAGCAGCCAGTTGTTCCTTCAGAACCCCAGGGATCTTGTTATTGAAAAGGGTCCGCGCAGACCAAGGCTGCGAAAGGAGCACTTCCTGGTTGGCAGCGTCCAACCCCGAGGTGGCAAGATACGACTGGCGCCTGAGAAAATGGCACGTGCCGGACATAAAGGCCGAAGCCCCGACAACGTACTCCAGGGATGCATTTAAACCGGGCAGGCAGTTGTAAATGAGCTGGTCACGGTCCGTGAGAGAACCTTCGACCAGCCAGGTAAGTGTCTCCATGAGACACTGCTAGCATGGAGTGCCGAGCGAGGGTGTCCAGCTGCTGCAAGGTAGCTTGTGTTACCGTAGCAGTCGTTGGGGCACGGACACCCAACTGCTCAACTTGGGCCTCCGCGGAAGGACCAGCCTTGGAGAAGGCAAGGTCATGCACCGGGAAAGAACCCTTTCTCCATGACGGCGGAGGCAACGGGAGACCCCGACCAGAGGCCGCCGCGAAGGCTTTCTCCAAAGACGGCTTGATCCCGCGCAGCAAGGTTGATGCGGGGAAAGCCTTGTCGGAAGACTCATCGTATACCTCGGGGGAACCCACAGAGCCGTGGATTCCCCGCAGTACCGGCAGGGGCTTGGGCATGTCCTCAAAGAGGTCAAAAACCATGGCCACGCGGTCCTTAACCGATAGCGGGAGCAACGGTTCAGGGGAAAGGATCATGCCGGCCACCACAGGGATGGAAACGGACTGTGCATACAGCCGGTAGCGCTCAAACGCCGCAGGCCCCAGACCGTCGCACAGGACGCACCGGGTGTCCCCACAAGGAACCCTGCATCGCGGGCAACGATCGTAGGGGATCCCGTGACGACGAGAACTTGTGACACACCCCGCAACGCCGGGTTGCAGTAGTAGAGGGGGTGGACAACGGCGACACATCCATGTCAGACATTTTGGCACTATAAACAAAAGAGCAAAACATGGTTACAACACACGCACCACAAATATTCACAAACGAGCATTTTCACAAGGAAAATAAACGAGCAAAGTGGATATAGAACATACACATAGAACATATAGGGAAATAAGTGATGTTAACCCACAAAGCATACTATAGCAGGGGAACTTAAGACACAACTTGCATACGAGAACCCCGTGATTATATAGAAAAAAGGGCGGGAAATTTTTTTTCCGTTTGGCGGGGAAATTATATCCAAGCGTAGCTACCGCAAACGCCCCTGGCACAGTTTATTAGTTTAATAAACCATAATAAATATCACCGAATTGGTCAAGGAAACAGGAACGCTTCAGCAGTCTATAACACGTCTAGCGAGCGCCAGCGAAGAGACAAGAGTGAAGGGCACATGGCAGCTAGGTGGCTACGCACGTGCTGCATGAGGTAATTGAGATCTCTGTGGTAGATTTCGCTAAAGCAGCAGTTGTGGGAGACAACAGCCTCGGTAAAACAGTGGTAACATATTACTTAATGTAATTATAAATGTATCCCCAACCCCACTGTTGTCCAGCACTTACCCGACTGTACAGCAGCCTGCACACAAACAGGCCCAGACGGGGGCTGCCACTGGCCGGTCTCCCCACACACCTGTTTGGCCTCCCCTACCATCTTGTAGCCTGAGTTGCACTTGAACTTCCTTTGTCCATTGTACATATCTTGCTTCACCTCACCATTCAGGAAGGACCCCAACTCTGGACACTGTACTACTGAAGCAGGCACATGGTATAATAACATGGTATCATATACACCACTGCCTATCTTAGTATCTAACTATTACTTAATAGTATCAGATTGAATATATATATCAACATCTGTAAGTATATTTGTGTAACATTTGAATACCAATCCTGATACAAATAGTCAGGAAGACTTCTTCTATGATCATGACATGAATGTTATACATTGTTATGATTGTAAACATACTTTCTGATTGTTACAAAGAAATAGCACAAATGACATGTTTGGTTACAATTTATAAATAGCTAACCCCTCCAACCAGGACATATTGGTGCATGTCATCCTTTCATTGTAAAACTATGTAGCAGTAAATAGACATGAAAGAATAGATCAAGCTAGACTTGGCCCAGTCTCTTTGGCAATAATATTTCTAAGTCTCTTATCTGGAGATAATCATGATAATCCTCTTATAGCTTTTTATCATCGTTTCACTGGATTTGTACATCATGCTCACCATTCAACCAAATCACATGAAACGTCCTAGAACGCTGAGAGGGAGGCAGGTGGGGAGAGTCTACAAGTCTGCTTGATTAGCAGTCTGAGGGGTGTAGTGGTGTTTAGAAGTGCATAATGTATGTGATGTAATAGACAAAGAAGAATGGGACAAGTCTAGTTCATTTAAGAAAATGATGTATAATAAATGCAGTTCTACAAACCTGATTTAAACTTGGAATGACACGCTGGAATCCAAAAAAGAAGACCACCAAGAAGGAAATATACTGCCCGCATATTTACAAATCATCAACTGAAAAGTAAGAAATCCAAACATGAGAAAAGGCACATAAAAGAAACAACTCAATTATCATGATAATAAACGTCTGAGAAAACATGTAGGAGCCCGGATTATTTTCTCATGATCCTCATGATGATAGCTGGGTGTAGAAAAAATAACATGCCCATGCACCTCTTCCTCAACAGATCCAACCATCAACTGAAAATTAATATCTGTTGAGCAAGTTTGACATTGAGAAAATGGGTTTGGCTGTTTAGTTTGTAGATAGACGAATTGATAAGTTTATTGACTCAAAATCAAAATTTTCAGATGATACCAGGTGATTTAGTAGCTCCTTACCTCATAAAGATATCTGGGAATGGGTGTCTCAAACATGACTATTGACCATGCTGACCATTCTGACTGACAAATGTGCACAGGTTTCGCTATTTACACCTGATAATTACAACTATCAAATATTTTGATAATTCAACATTTGTAATTTGTTAAAATATTGTTTACATAAACATGATAAAATTCCTGACAGGTAGACTTCAACCCTTTACTGAAGAGATTTTGACAGTATATTTGCCCAAAAATTGTTTCCAAACTTACACATAATCAACCATGCCCGGGGAATAATTGTGTTGGTAAATAAAACTTCACCACGTTCATGATTGACATCTCTTTCCAAACACCTTCATCAGGTAATGATGTACAATGACACCCAGTGTTGGTTTGGAAGCCTACACCTCAACTTCTGAAGGAATTAGCATGGTTGGGAATATCAACATATGGTTAAAATACTACATATCTATAATTTGTGTGTCCAGACAGTTGTTACTTTGAATGATTTCTTTGGGAACTGTCCCATCTGAACTAATCGGGTTAACTTTCACTGTATACATCTTTGTGACACACGTATAACAGAAAACATTGTGAACACTAGGGCTGTTACGATTCACCAGTGTATTCAGTGAACTGAAATGTACCCATTCATGAATTTAATTCATTATTCAAGCATTTGCATTTACATAAAAATAACCACAAGAACATATTATATGCATAGCTTTCTTCAATAGAAAACACTCTTATACTATTTAATTTGACAGTATTGTGGTCACTGCTCATTGTCGCATTTGAGCAGATACTATAGTACCTGAATAAGTGCAGTATATAAATGTATGATATACTAATAATTAACAAACCATGTCCAATAATTTATGTTGTTATTGCTTCACTGAATATAACAAATAATACATAAGCTGCTGACTTGTTATTGTATTCTTGAATTAATATTTGTATTCGATCGTTACCCTATATTCATAATACGAATCATATTCACCTCGTAACAAATTTGTTGCAGCCCTAGTGAACATAGTGACAACATGGAAGTAGAATAACGATACAGATGATCGTGGGTTAAACAAAGTGTTATCCAACATCTGTGGCCTTAAACATGTTAAAGGGGCACTGATCTAACGCAATTCCCCGGGACTGGTTGTTGCCTTTGTTATTGTTTTTTCCCAGTGAGTACCTGGATGTATAGCAGAAATCTAGACTAGTTCGCGACCTCTGCTGCGCCATTCGTAAGGGCATTAGTCACTTTTATGGGTAGTAATAAGGGCGTATGGTCACATTGATCAACAAAATGAAATACAGTTTTCGAGATAATAAGGAAATGTAGGTATCTTTGTGGGTAGCATCGGTAATGGTGACGAAGTTTTGATAAGTCACTTGCTTGGTAATTTTGCGATTTTCGTTTACGCTATTTTGACTTGCAACACAAAGTAAATATTTCACCTGAGCATTGCCTTTTTTATAGTGTGTATATTTTTTTACTGTCAAATGTGTAACAAATTTATTAAACGTCTAAATATTCAGTTATTTTACAAAGTGACTGAAAAACATTTCCATCTGTATTATTATGATAACGAATGCCAAACATTTTGATGTTTAATGTCATCACCAAGAGACTGAAAATGTTACGCTGAAAAGTACATTACTATGTTGTTTGGCCTCTAATCCTACAAAATAATCTGTTGTGATGTGTGTAGACCCTTTTGATCGTCTTAATCAATCTGGACAGATTTTTTAGTCAAAATGACGGAAATATTTACATATTTTATAAATTGCCTGAGAGAATCACATTTTACAAATTGACGGTAATATATACACGCTTACAAAGGAAAAGACCTGTGAAAACAACGTCTATCGCTCATTGAAGAATTTCCCAACCAAGACGTAGAGAAACAAGAACGAATCGGTTCAAATGAAGGAAAACAAAATGCAGATATCATAATTACAACCTACCAAATTTATGTGTATAAATTTTAGGCAGCTTCCTTGTTCGAGGAATGTATCCGTGAATATCCACACAAAGGAACAATATCCTACTCGTCTGCAGCTGTACAAAGAAACTTATTCGATGTCACGTGTCTCAGTAACAATCAAATATTTTAAAAGATATATATAGTTTCGGCATATTATAACCCGTGTTCGTTTCTCTACTGATCACTTGGATTGTTTCAGGTGTTTTACATAGGTGTCAAGTCTCAATGGTCGGCTGAGAAAGCCCACGTGACAACTATTTTCACGGTTCCTAAAAAATCCATTGAGTGATAGATAACAATGATCAATCAATCAACGTATTATCAGTTGACCCTTTGAACAAAGTATGTTGTTTTTACATCGGCACTTCACGCCATGATATGAGTGTATTCCCTTTGTTTTAGTAAACCTAGACATGTAAACACTCACTCTTGACATATCCACTGTGCAAGATAACAGTGATTAATCAATCAACGTATTTTCTGTTAATCCTTTGATGACTAGGAACGATCCGTTGATTTACAAGAGAAAGTAAATCAACTGATCATTCATCTCTTGCTGGGCTGCCACGTGCATATTACATAACACACATTTCACCTCAATTCAAACCTGGATTTAGATTGAATAATTACCCCAGACACAATAAATGCCAAATGGGAACCTTTGTCAGGTAATCTAAGTGGTGCTACCACTAATTGTACCTGTAATAAATTCATTAACTGAGCATCAAGTGAATGACGACAAATACACAAGTGTAGGGTTATACAAGAAAACGTGGATGACAACAAGGGAGTAGTAATCGTATTATCGACGCAAGCCGAAATCCGAAAATGCTTTCACTGAATGGATACTTTTTTTTAGTATTAAACTGTAACCATCTGGGGTATTTCCAAATGACGACATCCGATGAGCTCCGCTGCTCTTTTTGTCTGTTTGTTTAGGCTGAAGAAATTAATTAACATGCGCCCTTTGTCGAAATCTTTATAGATCACAGTTAACCAATCAGTGTTTATGCAAAAATGCGTAAAACAAATATTGCCTCCAACCTCCAAGTTTATTTAGCTGTCCTTGCAGACGGTAGCCCAGTCTCTGGTCACGCTCAGTTGCGTTGCGTATCATCCGGGTACTCACGGGGGGAAAAACAATAACAAAGGCAACAACCAGTCCGGGGAATTGCGTGAGATCAGTGCCCCTTTAAGGAGGTGAGTAATGTATTGAAGAATAATTGCTACAAGACGAGTATGCTGTCAACATTCAATTTGCCATTGTTGCCAGATCCTGAGATAGTAAACATTACAAGTTGGTAATAACACATCACAAATGTTTTATCTTATGCATATTGGTTCCAATTATTCAAGAGAAGAAGCAAACACACACAGATCTATAGCTGAGATTATAAATCTAAACATTAACTTGGACCATGACATCAACTAAAATATGCTTCTTCCATGCACAAAACTGAAGATGAACATGATACCAGACGTTCTATTCACGAACATGAACACCCATAAAAATGTTGGAAGAGAAATAAGATGGATGTGTGTACCAAAATTGTTAGGATGTCGTAAATTGTCCTATTTTAGGAATCTTCAAATTTAGGCTAGACAACAGACAGTCAGGATGACACGACTGTCCTAAACACACATATTACCTTCTCGCAGACACCACAAAATGCATGTTACCACTGTCACTTGATTGTTCTTGGTCCGGCCGATGCCACAACAGTGGCAAGCAGAGCAAACTGGTTAATTAGCAGAATTAACACCACAAATGTCAATCACCTCTTACAATGTCAACAAAACCTCTGATCGGCAGCCATGTTATTTCACGTGACGTCATGAAACTTCTTGTACGCATGTCCGGATATTGGGCTTGGATCAAAATAAATTTCAATGCTGGATCCGGACATTACACACAGAAGCAAAACAATCATCGTTCGAACGCAGAGTGTCCGCATGCGGAGCATCGCGTGAAAAGTTCCACGTGTGTTCTGTATGTTTGGATCAATTGTGACTGGACAGTAGTGAAAGAGACGCTATATTGATGTGAATAATGCTTTAGTAGAAGCGAGACGAGTAGGGAACTCGGTGCTCGGTGCTCCACAGCCCACAGTCATGTTCATGAAGATTGTCGGTGATTGTTTCCCCGGCTTATTCTTACATCTGCAGTATTGTGAGGATCACATGTTATAGTCTGTTGGCTTATCCCGAGTGGTAGTACTCAGTAGAATCCACTTGGGACGTTATCTCGCCGCGGAGATAGAGTTACTGACTTGGTCGTCCTTTTACTTCGCTAGCAGACGATATACGAAACCATTTGCAGCGATATATATTTTCCGAAGGTATTTCTTGTCAGTTGTGTATATTTTATAAATTAATTCCTGTCCATGTGAGCTTTACAATGGACTGTCAGACCCCCGTGTGTTTATGAGACTACAATCTGCTGTAACTGATTGATGCCGATGGTACCCGAGCTAAACAGGACAATTATACCGGAGACCAGGAACCTAAGACAATGGCTATGTTTGCGATGTTCCAAAGGTCTCGGTTAGGAAAATTTATTATATTCCTTGTATTCCTTGTGATAGTGTTGCAGGTATTTCACATGTCGTTATTGACACGGCTCGAGGCAAAAGAGGCTTTGAACCGACATAAAGGACCAGTTGATCGCCAACTAAAGGTTAAGACTCTACCAGAAATCGTGGATGACATGGAAGAAAAAGTTCGCAACTCCCACAGACTGGATTACAGTGGTACGTATCACGTCATAGCGAACCTCCTCACCGCAGAAAGTCACGATCCCGGCCAGAATAGAGACGATCTGGCCATTGTCACACAGTGTTCATCAAATCATTTACATCATTTATCTCATCTTTCACAAGTGTGGGATGGTCCAATCTCAGTGACAGTGTTCACCTTCGACAATAATATTGAAACGGCACTCAAACATATTGTGAAACTTTACTTATGCAGAGAAAAAATTCGTAAAACGACTTCTTTTCATTTGGTGTACCCACTCGACCGTGCCCCTCGGTCCTTAAGTGAGAGTTGGAAAGCGGTGAATTCTTGTGAGGAGGACATGTCAGTAGACCGAGAGAAGGCCCCAAACTATGCAATAGAGGGCATAGAGTACCCACAGAACCTACTCAGGAACCTCGCAATAAAAAACTCTGCGACATCGTTGGTGTTTATGGTCGACATCGATATGGTTCCATCGGAAAATCTTCACGGGGACTTCCTGTATCTATGGCGCACCGCTCTGAAAGCACGGGCAAATGAAACCAAGGACACAGTTTTTGTGGTGCCAGTATTTGAAGTGAAGGAGGGTGTCACAGTTCCTGATACTAAGCCTAATTTGATAGGTGCACTGGATCGGGCCGAGGTGAGACCCTTCTACATTGATCCTTGTAGTCCGTGTCAGACTTTTACTAATTACCCGAAATGGGTATCTTTGACGCATTCAAAAGGGATGCAGGTGGCATATTATATTAACTGGAAATACTCTTGGGAACCTTTCTACATCGCTGCTAAAGGCATGCCGCTTTACGACGAGCGCTTCAAACAGTATGGCTATAACCGGATAAGTCAGGTGCGTATATACACTTATACTTTTTCTGTTTGAACTATGACTTACTTTTGTGACTCTTCATAAAATAAAAGCAGGTTGTTCATAGCGATACACCCGCTCCTGGTGTTACCTGAACACTTGGGCAAATGGGAACAAGAAATTCTCCACGCACAGTATACGTTGTGTATGTGGGGGTACCAGCTGCCTGAATCATATTACTTATTAAGCCGTCCAATGTGAAGGTCAAAGGTAACGGATATTTTGGTGGAAGGTGTGGTTAATTTAAACCCTTTTCCGTGTCGAATGTATATTGTAATCCTGTTAAAAGTCCGTGTGGGGCAAATTATGCTGGAAGATTACTTTGGGCTGCGTGGGGCTAATCAATACAGAACGCATACCCACATATGCACGGAAGTTCACGCAGAGACCGCCACAGGGAGTCTTGTTGCTGTTGCCACCAACAGCGTTGGACATCACATGCCCCCCAGAAGTGCCCCATGATTGTCGAAAGAGATGACTTTAAATTTGGTACTTATTTACTAATGAAAGTCGGGTGTTTAGGATGCGAGATCTCACTGATTGCGAGAGCCTGTAACCAGGACAACAGGCACAACTCAATGTGCACCCCCAGTTCACGTCTAAAATATCACAAGGACATCTGCTATAAAACATGAATATGTTCGATTTTGTCCGAAATATGCATATGCTGTTTTGCTATTCTTGTCAAATATAACATGTTTATCTCCTGAGTGGCGCAGCCATGAGTAACAAAATGTCAACTTTTTAACATGTGTTAGGTCCAGCTGCGGTTATCATGTCCATTCATTGTTATTATCGGATCGTCCCGTAAGAAATGTTGCCAATGCGATCTGCATGATGTACAGCCCACTTCTACATCTCCGACTGTCTATAAATCATAAAATATTTTAAAACTAATATATAGCTATCTCTTTCTCAGTCCCTTACACCCAAATATATATATGTCATGGAAAGTGAACACTGAACAAGGATTATAGGTCAAACTAAAAAAGACCGGTGGTGTTTTCATGGGGCAGCTTGTTTTCCGAAACCGTACCGATTTTTGTTTTCGATCTGAAATTCTTATGTCAAGTTTGCTTTTGATGAAATAAAGTATACGCATCTGAGGTAATTCTAACAGCGCACATTGGCACACTTTTCTTTTGGGACGATCCGTAACCCCCAGTCGTTACATGCAGAAAAATACATGAACCGACGAGGGAATGAGCAGGTTAGGCCATAAGATGAGATAAATACGTCATTTGACAAGAAAAGTCAAATGTTCTATTTGTTATAAATTTTCGAACTGATCTTACATATCTTAGTCTTAAAACGTATTATAATGCAGACTGAAAGTAGTTCCGGCAAAACAATATTTCACCCGATTGAAGGAAGTGTTGATTTTTTTGTTTTCAGATTAATATATTTCTTCACTAAATACATAATAAATTCGTTTACTCTCAGCCATGTCCGATCCGGACTGCGGGTGTCTCCTATATGTTGACATAAAGTAACGTTTTAGACGTTTACATAACATTACTTGTACCCACTGTGTACCTTTTACTTTCCTAATACACAAGGGGCAGATAATTGGTAATTCCGGGTAGGTTATTTGTAATGCCCATAATCTTTTTTATCTGAGAAAATACAGAAAAAAATGTGTTTCTCAGTTGTTTAATTTTGGAACGACGTCACGTATTATCGTTTGAAAAGACATCATGAAAGATGAGTGTCGCCATCCTAAGTTATATGGGACTATATATGCATCGTTCATTTATCCGTACCACACAGCAAGTGGGTAATATTATATGCTGTGTCACATGCACGTACATGTGTGGACCCTGCTGCGCTGGCGCCATACCCAGGGAACCAAGCTGGTTCGGTTGCTGCGCATGACGCGCAACCTTTGGTCGAGGGAGGGCCAGAGGATAATTCTTATAGAACTGCAGGTGTTTGTCAACAATGTAATGAGTTCTAGGAAATGGAAAGAATAAAGCGGTAGTTCTGCTCCTGCTGAGTATGGTGTTGCATGGGCGCATGGTTAGTAGTTCAGATACCCACATACAGAGAACAGTATAGGCTTTGTTGACAACGGAGCACAAACATTGTTTGCTCAAATCAATGTACTTAACTAATGGAAATATATTGAGATGTCACTAATTGCTCATTAATGGGTAGAGCTAATTCATAACTCAACAATCCATCAGCTGCCATGGCAGCCAAAATTTCAGTTCAGTGTGCATGGTGTTGTGACAAAGGGTGAGAACAAAACTTCCGCTACAAGAATCCGTTTCCATCACAACTCCCGCTTTTAATGTTACTCCTCTCAAGTTTTAATTTGCATGAACAGGACGTTAAACATCATTTCACCTCACCTCACCTCACCTCACCTCACCTCACCTGTGATTTACGTAGAGTGTATAGTGTGTGTGAATACTCTTGTTTGTTAAATTCATATGCTGAAAATGATGTAGTTATGATTTAGTGGTATATTCACATCAGTCTAGTTAAGAGGGGGTGCAGTTGGATAGCCTAGTGGCTTCTGCCATCACTCTTGACACGGAATGCTGGGGTTCGATCCCTACACAGTGTGTGAAGCCCATTTTGTATCTCTCCGCAAAGCGTATACTCATTCACTCACTCACTCTGTGTAATATGCAATCAAAGTAGACTTGGTGAAAGTAAGCAAGATGGCCGTGAATTAACAACAAAGATGTCTCTATGGTAATGAACCAGTGTGAGTTTCTGGTGTTGGGAGACATTTGATATAAAATCGATAACACTATTAATTTGCTTTGTTGTGCCTGGGTGATGCATGTGTGCGTTCCGTGTTGCTTCGTGTGGGTTTCCTGTGATAGAAACTAAAAAATATAGTCCACTAGTCCTTATTATGACAACATATAGCAAAACACTTAAAAAGGGCAAATTCTACTAGTTCCTATGATACCTTAACTATTGGGCAGTTTGGCAAGGACTATGGGACTAGTGCCAATTTCTAACGCTGGTTCCCTATTCGTGTGTTGGTTTTACCTCATGTTCACAGAGCGACCAACAGACAGAACGCTACATCTTTGAAAGTAACTGCAACGTTCGTCTTTGACGACCTTTAACCTGGATGTTGATTTTCCAATCTAATATTACTTCGTATGTTTGATATTTAGTTACATTTCATCCCCTGGCTAACGACCAGTTATCGCCGAGGACCAATTGCGCCATCTCCCGTTATAGCGCACGTGATTGCATCTCGTTTTATTTTTGCTCGCTTTGATTGGAAGAGAGTAACATTTATCCGAAAACGATGAACAAAATTGACACTTGTAAGGAAATATTAAAAATCGCACCATATTATAAGCACCTTGCTCAAATACAACTTTACAGATGGCGCGGGTGGTATCACGTGACTTCCTCATGTCAACAAACATCCAACAACACGATGATGGACATTTAGCTCCGCCATTGCTTACCATCTGACTCATTTATTTTAAAGAGTACAACTCTAAATCCATTACCTTATTTATATCTGGAAATCCATGCAGAGTACAGTGTACGGATAAGCATGATTATGTTGATCGAATTTGGCGAATATTGGTTTACGTCTGTTGGCAGACAACAAATTGATAACAAACATTGCTTATTAATTTCAATGAATGAAATAATTGAGTGCGGTACCAGAGATAGTAAAACAAAAAAATATAACAGAAGCCGTGCGCACGTGATCACGTGGCACGTGCTGTTTAAAGACTGAGAAAGTTGTATTTCCAATGTTTTGATTCCCCCTCGTCGCGTTATAACAGAAATCTACTCGAACTTATTCAACGGAGAGAAATAAGGGTATTTGAGGATAGTTTCGCAAAAAACAAAGTTATTGGTACTGTAAAGTTCATGCTCGGAATATTTCACTGAAGTAACACTGAAAAAGCCGTTAGCTGATCACTATCAAGCGGGGATATAAAGGGATTTGAAGAATTTTCTAAAGTTATGGAATTCTTTTTCAACATGGGTTAAATAACACAAACTTAAACTATCACTTTTAGGACCTAGAGTGTTTTGGATATTCCTACGCGGCTCATTTCTGAGATTTTGAAGCGTCTGCGATTATTACGAGTGTCTACAAACATTACATATTTATTTATTACATGATCGTCACCTGCTGCTGCACCACGTGTATCTGCGCATGGTAACCATGATTAACTGTGGCATCGTATAACAGTTGACTAGCTCTTTAAACCTGCGTAAGTCTGTACTAGTACAAGCAGCCACGTACGCATGTGTATGTACGTCACTATATGAGTGAAATAATCTCGAATAACCTCAAATTGCAGATGTATTTACATTTAGTCTTCTGCCGTTTACCAGTCACAGGCACATTTCAGAGGGTGACATTGTTTTGCTATTTGCCCAGGAAACCATTTGTCAAGCTCAAGTTTGTTTCTACTTGTGTAGCCGAGATTGATCCGATATGATTGATGCCCCAATGTTCTATTAAGTCATTGATTGAAGTCTCGGCCGTCCAGCGAGTCGTTTAGACCCAACAGGACCTTGCCTGAGCCCAGGTTGCCATAATGAATAGACTATATTTGCTACTCCAACCGACGCCAGACCGGTAATGAGGGAGCAACCCACAAATCAATGGGATTCATTCTGTGCAGCAATTGGAATTGATTAATTAAGCCTTAAGTTTCTCTTTCTAAAAGTCACTCTAGTTACCCAGTAGGCACGATCTATTACCCCGAGGTAATATGGCCGTGGGACACTTTTTGTTGTCAAGATTCCCTTGTTCGGCAAACTGTAGAATATGTGCCTGGAATTATTTGTGGGTGCTCATTGGCACAGCGAAGGCTTCCCATTGACTGAACCTGTATTGACGTCTCTATAGTACACTATAGGCAGCCCAGTACGTCTTCCAAGACACACCGTAACTTAAAGACGTTAGCGTGATGTCCTCTCCTGCACTGAGTTGTTCTGGCAATGGCCACACAATGGGTCATTGAAAATACTCCACT